CTGCCTGACCTAATACGCCCTCTTTTCTTCACTACCTCCCATGTATCCTCAAGATTTAAGTTCGTTCATCACTTCCTTGGGGAAGCCTTCTTTGACCTGCTGATCAGTCACATGCTCACCCTGAGAGCCCCATGGCCTTCACTTTTGACAGGTGTAATCATATATCCATTCCTGTGGTTATTTGATTATCTTCCAAATCCTTCCCTGAGCTGTAAATTCCCTTATTTCATTCATTCCAGCATCCAGCACAGGACATGAAACTTCCTAGATGTCCTGTGAATAGTTGTTGAATGAATGAATGTCCTTGGGAACAACACTAACAACCCAGAGCCTGTATTTCCATATATACCCTGTGATATAAGTAACCTGCCAGAGTGACTGTGGTGAAGATTAATTCATGAATGGTCTATTAAGGTCCTCACATGGTGCCTGACACACAGGGACATCCCATACCTTCAGATTCTCTTGTTTTCTTTACAGTACCCAAGAGCAGTGAGACCTTCCTACCCCTGCCTGGGGCTCTAAGCTGCCGTTAGTCTTGAGAAGGGCACAAAGCCCTGAGTGTATTGACCTTGATGTCACACCAACCTGTAGTGTGGCCATGATAACACTTTATCTTTCCCAAGCCTCACTTTTCTCACCTGTAGAGTGGGAATTTTAATAATACCTAGCTCATAGCGATGTCATTGATAATACATGAAACAGTGCTTAGAACAGTCGGTCATGTCAGGAAGTGGTGCTTGCTATTATTATGTTCATCTCTAGCACCAGGACTCACTTAGAAGATACTCATGGAAAGGAATTATGACAACTGGGCCAGAGTTTGCCATATCTCAAACCTTCCGTTAGGATCCCGAGTGGAAACAGCCATATAGCCATCTGTCTGACCAGGTGGGAGGTCCTTCAAAGCCAGGGAAACATGGCCAGGCTGTTTTGGTTAGAGGATTGCCTTTTGTAAGGTGGCTTCTTGGCCTTGTCAATTCAACATGCTGCATTTTACTGAGATTTGAAAATACTCCCTTGATCACATTTCCACTCATCTTTTCTGAATACAGCTCTCTTTGAACCCTACTAAGATTGGCAGTGGCATTTTTCAATTCTCAAAGGATATCCCAGAGGATAAAGGAAAATTCCATCCACTGGAGTTGGCAGTATATTATTCAGAAAAGAGTTCATAGGAGACCAGCTTGAGTTCTAGGTAGACAAGGAAAAAAAAAATTGCAAAGGATGAGCTGAAAGATGAACAAAGAAAGTCGGGTGGGGGTAGGTGTGAAGAAATGAAAAGAAGAGAAAAAATTAAAAAGAGAAAATGTATACTGTTTTTCTTAGAGACAGATCTGAATTCTTAAGCAGAAGCAGGACCACCTTAATGGGAAGAATTAAGGAGGAGTAGATATTAAACTCAGGTTCCCCCCCATAAGATTTCTCCACATAGGATATTACAAAGAGGAGGCTGGGACTTTATTGAAGGAACCCGACAGCAACTCCTTACCCAAAGGTAGAGGGTCTGTCCAGTCAGCCTGTAAGCCCCATGACTGCACATCTGCTAGAAGAAGGGGAATTTCTTACAGAAACTCTGACAAAAATCTAGGACAGAGCAAAGACAGGCCAAGCAGGTCATTGAAAATTCTTTGGAAAGACTCCTGTCAACAGCTCTGTTCTGCATGTGAATTCTCCAGGTATTCTCTACAAGTCTGGAATTGGAACGGGGACAATTCAAGACCCTCCTTTGAGCAGCACAGGATTAAGCTCTGCCTTATGCCAGTGAAGACGGAGCTTGTTTAGGCTCTGTCTTATGTTGGTAACCTGCTCTGTAAGCTGCGTGGAACATGAATTACAAAGACTTCAATGGTTCTTCAGGATTAATAGGGTCAATAAGGCATTTATGAGAGCAACTTAACCATATACTATAGGACATAGGCAATTATATGCAGTTATTTTCAGTGTGTGTGCACACACACACACACAAACACACATACATGCTCCTCAGGCTCTACTTAATACGTTTTGGGATTCTGTATTATCATTCCCTCAGCACCAAATTAAAGAGCTGCTTGATCCTCATGGTCAAAGAAAATCTCTCTTTCTTGGTTATGTTTTCTTCTTCTTGACTTGACCCTTGCTCAATCACTTTTTCATTTGCATTCTTGCAGATTGGGAAAATATTGGAACCACAGAGACCAGAGCTCAGATGCCATCTGTGCCACTTACTAAGTGTATAGCCTCTGGCATGCTGCATACTCTGAGTCTGTTCCCCCCACTAGAAGGCCAGAATAACAACAGCTGCCTCCATAGATTGGTTTAAGGATTAAATGTCATCAGAGGTGAAACACCCTAACACATGCTTGGTGAGAGGGAGGCTGAGTAAATGTTAATTCTTCTCCTTTCCCCCTTCCATATTATAGTGTACATTGGACTCATCTCATATTTACTTCAATTTTTACATGTACCACAGGAAACTTTTCAATCTGCCCTCTCTCAAAGTTTGGGTTTTAACCTGGAATCTTCATCAACCATGGAAAAAAGCTCTAGCTACTGCTTTTCTTAATTAGCTCTTTTTCAGGCTTGTGTACTGCTTGAACTGTGGGAAACCTCTCCTTAATTCTAAATTGATCATTGGAAACAGATTTTATTTCTTTTCTTTCTATTTGCATCACATTGGGAGGAGGAATTTTTGGATTGCCATAGCTTTCCTTGAACAAGAGAACCACTTTCAAATTGAATGCTCATTAAAATTTCACTCCAGTTGACAAAGTCTTTGCAAATTCCAGACATGGCCCTGGGTAATTTAGCCATGCCTTGCATTGCCATAGTGATGCAGACAAAGCACAAAGTAGCTTCTATTCCCACTGTTTGGACCTTAACCCTCTTGTGCTTAGGGCTGAGAGGAGGATCCATGTGGTTGGACTGGGGTTGCAGAGCGTTTGGAAATCAACCAGTGTAGTTGGCAGGGTAGTGGATCCCTGGGCTGGGTAGGGCAGAGAGTTCCTTTAATTGAGAATAATTATGCTGACAAAAAGGGGAAGTGTAAGGGCACCTCATAATTATAAACAGATGTATCTGAATAACGGCAACCGGTCTTTCAGGAGCCCAGCAGGCTGGTGCTTCAGCAGGGACTCATCTCCCTGGTGGGACAGAGATGCTTTAACACCTCTGATAATCCAAACAGGACAAGGCAAAGCAATTGAGCTGTTTTCAGAGAAAACAATACACAAGAAAATCAGATGGCGAGGGCAGTGTAATAGAAAATGCAGGTCTGGGAACCAGGTAGTCTGGTTTAAGTAGCAGATAAATTACTTAATAGCTGGGTGATTTCACCTTAGCTGTTTACACAGTCTGTGTCTCAGTTTCCTTCTCTCTTAACCGGCTGGATGACACCCATTGCATGGAGGTGTTAGTAGAACTTAGAAAGTAGAGGTAAACTGCCTAGCACAGAACAAGCACACAATGAGTTGCTAGTCCAAACAGCAGCCAATAGTTTACATTCTCCTACCTGGTCTCCCTCCTGCTTCCAGTCTGACCACAGGATTATTTGTTCTCCAGAGGAATTAATTTTTAAAAACTTAAGTCAGAATACACAATTGCTCAAAACTCTCTAACAGCTTCCCATACACTTAGGTTAAAATCCAGGATCCTTATCCTGTAAGATCTGGTTTCAGCTCTTAGGACCAACCTCCGATTCTCCCACTTTGTCCTAGTGTCCTCCACCCAAGACTACCTCTTGGTTCTATAAACCTACCAAGTTTGTTCCACCAGATGTTTGCATTCCTGCCTTCTTCTCACCACTCATTCCCCAGCTTGAATATGATAACTTGAAAGAAGCCTTCTTTGACTACTGTCTTGGTTGGGTTTCCTGGAAAGAGACTCTGAGAGAAGGGATTGGGACCACATGTGTTATGTTTAGGAAACACCTATAAAGGGCAAGAGAAATGGAGGGAGAGAGAAAAATAGAACAGAGACAAGGTCTTAGATATGGTTTTAGGTAATGTCTAGCTTTGGACTAATCTATGGATTGTAGTGGTGGGTTGGGGGGATCTGGAACATACATCATTCTTTATAGGTGGTCTGCCTTGAAATAAGGAGCCAGGCTTTTATGCCACTGAATCAATCAGTCTTTGTCTGCCTCACAGGCATCTCCAACCAGCCAAGGACAATTCTCCTGAAAAAGCTGCAGATTTAAGCCCCTGGCCACTAAATTATCCTCTACCCTCTGGAGGACGCAGGTACTGGCTTATAAATAGGATCTAGCAGGACATCAGCTCACCTGCCTCAACCACATGGTGCAGCATCGCACCTATGCACTCCATCCCATACACCTAGGTCAACTCATTGGCTTATTAATCATCTGATATTTTTCTTGCATAATTTATTGAATTTCTATCTCCCTGACTAGATTATAGGATCCTGACAGCAGCGACATTATCTGTTTTGTTCATGCATACATCTCTAGACACTGGTTTAATGAGTGAAGGTTCGTTGCCACACACCTCCTCCTGAAAAAAAATGTATATGTTCAGATAAAGAATGTATCAGAACCAAATTAAGACAGATCTGCCCTTGTCATGGTTACCTCCTACCTGAAGTTTCTTTGTCCTTTGCTGTTCCTGTCCCATTAGTGAGAAGCTGGCTGGTATTTTTTAAGCATTCCAAAGAATCTTGCTTATAAACTGTGTTTTCTAAAACAATGATATCCATCACCAGGGAGGCAAAATCAGCTTTCAGCCCTTATCCTGAAATATTTACAGAACAGATTTGAAGAAAGGGAAGAGAAAAGCTGTCCCCAGAAACTTAACTCCACAGCATTTAATATGACTTCCCTCAGAGATATTCCCCAACCAGTTAATCGCTACTGGGACCAGATTTTAAGGACTGTTTTCTACAGATGGGGTTACTCTCCCCCCAGATCTCTCATGTGTATCAAAACACAACCTGTTATCTGTCTACAGTTGTAGTCTCCTTTTTCCTCCTTGTCCCTAGGGAAAGAAGATTCTGGCCAAATAGCAACATGTTCAAGGATTAATAAGATGATGAGATGTGTACCTCTGCCTCACACTGTGTCTACACAAATCATACACACACAACCCTGTTGAAAAATGATGGCTTCCAACAGCTTTTGTAGCAGCCTGTCTGAAAGTTCCAGCTTCCTGTGGACCATCTGGCCATCAAAAATTCAAAGACTGAGAAAGTCCAGGTCATTTAAATAAGGAGCAGGAAGCATGAGGAAAATAAGGCAATTCAGTTGCATGTAGGAAAAGAGTCATGAGGACTGAGGCATTATAATATAAAATAATAAAATGCTATTTGGAAGACTTAACAAAGAATCAAGCATTGTGCTAAGCAATTTCAAACATTGTATCACTGAATATTCAACAAATGCTGTGAGATACACAGTATGTTTGTTTTACAGATGAGGAAACATACATATAGAGGATATGCAGGTTGCCCTATATCACAGAGCTGATTTGGTAGCCACCAACTTTTGTTTTTGCCTTTCCAGTATCTATTTGCCATTATTTAGGTCATAATACTCTAATTTACCTTTGAGAACCCATTTCCCCAACATTTAGTACATGTTGTACTAGCAGAGCCAGTTCCATTTCATAACCCACATCTGGCTAGCCCACTTGTTCTGTTACCCTGGCCATTTTGTGAGTTTAGGATAGGTGGATGGCCCTAGCCAGGCCAGTGAGCCTCAGCTCCTGGGCTTTTCTGAAAATGCTAGGAGAGAAAATGTCTCTTTCGTCTGGGATTGCAAGTGGTTAATTGAGACCAGCTTGCCAACTCAAAGAAGGAGTGTGATGACAAAGTGCTGATATGAAAGAAAAGAGACGTGATAAAGAGACACATTTTTCTGGTGCCATGTTTTAGCACCCATATTCCACCATTGTTGAAGTTGGTGCTACACATGAGACTTTTTAGGAGGCCAATACATTTCCTTTATTCCTTAAAACAGTTTAAGGTGGATCTCTCTCTCTAGCAATTGGATGAGTCTTAATATAGTATTAAACAAGTAATGATTGAACTTGGATATTAACTAAAGATTCACTGGACCCTCAATGCCTATGTACGTAGCTAGAAAGCAGACACACTCCAAGGATCTAGGAGAAGGAACTGGACATTTAATCTGCTTTTGTTCCTTCTGAATATTTGGCTATTTTTAACCCAGCTCTTATCCAACTGATCACAAAACTGTCATAGAAGAGAAAAATGAGACGAAGGATACAGATTGCAACACTAAAGGGAACTGGACTTGGAATCAACCAGCACTTGGTTCAAATCTCAGGTCTTTTGACTTACTGAACCTTTCTGCACCTCAGTTTTCTCATCAGTAAAATGTGATGATAAAACCTATCTTATCGGGCTATTCTGAGAAATAAGAAACAGTATGCATGCAAAGTGCTCGGCCAGGGTAGCCACCCAATAAATATTAGTTTCTCACCCTCAAGAGCAGCCTTTCTGACTCTAACTATGAAAATTCACAAACACTAACACAGAGAAATGGTTAGGAGTTTCCCCCATGGCCACACACAAATCATATTTTCTGGTTTTCAGACAATTAAATAAGGCAAATTTGGGCTTATTCTCTAAGGAACTAAGTAATTCGGTATATATGTACTTTGTAGTCTTGGAGGGAAGACATGTTTCTACACAAAACCAACCCAAATGTTAGAAAATTTCATTTCAGCCAAACACCTAATTGTGTTTTTGACACCTTGTCAAATAAGTGATGTGACTTATTTGTCTCTTCCCTCTGAATGAAGGTTGTCTGGATTGATCAAGCCAATGAGGTTTCTTGACAACTTGTAATGATAACAGGGCCATCTTTCATCTCCGTGCTGCCCCTTGTATGAAGAGCAGGTGTGTACAAGGTCATCCGCACTCTGAGGAGTCCCTTGAAGTCAGTGATATACATGGTAATGAAAAATCTAGTTGGAGTTAGGTATAAATAAATACTGGAAAAAGTCTGGATAGAATTATTCTCTGAAGAAGGGGCTATACCTTTATCATCTTCCTGCTAAGAGCAACCTGTGGGGCCAGTCGAGGGCCATGTGCATTACAGTGAGGAATAAAACTACAAGGGGATGGTTGGGGAGGTGACTCGGCCCCAGACCTGGATTCAGTTAGTCACGGAGGGCCCACTATGTGCCAGGACATGTATTAGGTGTTGGGATACAGATCAGACTCCCATCCTCATGATGCTTAAACTTGATTGGGAGGAAACAGACAAAAAGAAACTAAAATATATTGTACATCAGAAAATGATAAGTACTGTGAAGAAAACAGTAAAGTGAGGAAGGGCCATAAGAATGATAGATGTCAGTATGCAATAGGTAAAATTTACAATTTAAAATTGAATGTTTACTGGAGATCCAGATGAAAAGGGAATGTTTTGAAGGGGAAAGGAAAGGAAGAGAATGAAGAAAGAATGAAAACGTGCATGGATTTCTCGGAGAAGGGCATTCTTCTAAAGTAGAGGTCTGCCTGGATATTGGAAGACAGCAAAGGGGAATCAAGAAGTAGATTAGGAGGGAGGTGAGGTCAGAGATAGTGTGGGGTGGGGTGAGGCAGGGCCTGGAATGCCAAAGCTTTTCCTCCCAGGGAGAGGGAGCCATCAGCTGGCTTTGAACAGCTCTCACTTAAGTTTTATGAGTCCCTCTCTGCTGATGCTCTAAGAATAGACTCTGGAGGGGCAAAGGGAGGGGAGTAAAACATGGGCAGCTGGATCAGGTGGTGGTTAGTACAACAATGCTGATGACCCGTGAGAGTGGCTTCAAGTAGTAGGACCGCAGTGGCAAGGATTAAGAATGGCTGGCTTGCAGAACGTCTTAGATTGTACGTCCATTGTCATGGACAGGGTCAGACAGGTGGCCATCCTGCTGAAAAAGCCCTGAGAAAGAAGTCCCAAAGATTTGAATAAAATGGACAGGGTCTCAGGTCAAGGACCTTAAGGTGGTTTAGCAAAGTGTCATCTTGGAATCATGGGCTAGAGTACAGTTTACAGTTCCCCAGGCCCTAAAAGTGAGGCAAAAAGGAAATAAGGGAGGGAGGGGACATCTGTGAGAGCGACAGGGCTCAGGAGCAAGGCCCACAGTGGTGCCTGGTATGTGAGGGGGTGTTCCAGAGCCCCTTAGATGTCATATGTGCAGCAGGAGGCAGAAACAAGGCACCTCAAGGAGCCCCAATAGCTGAGGGAAGTGTGGGAAAAGGAGCACCTCCAGGAAACAAAGGGGAAACTGGGTGGACAGGAATGACCACCTCACCCAAATAGGGTGGGCTGCGCTTTGTGCCCGAGGGGTGGAGGTGATGGGCGGTTCAGGTGGGGCAGTGTGAATGAGGTGGACAGAGATGCCGAGAGCTGGCCTCATCAAAGCTTTCTTTTTGCGTGAAATCAGAGTGAACCTAAAAACCGGTTCCTTCTCCTCCTGGGAACGACACTGATTGAAGATGATCCTCCCAAATTTCATGGCAGAAAATGAAGAACAGTTCCTGGTGAGTGTGATTTTATGCCTCCCTGGCCCAGTGCTGCGGAGGGAGACGGCTCATCCTTCACAGCTTCCTCCGTGGCGCTCACCGCAGGGCGATGTGCATCTTTCACCTGGACAGCGTCTCGGGATCCGACCGCAGTCAGAGCTCGTTTTGTTAATCTTCCAAATCCTTCAGGCCAGAGTGCAATCCCTTGCAGAGCCTGTATCCGAACACGGAAGGAAATAAAGGGGGAGAAGAGAGACCCTATGCTCATTAACCATTTCTTCTCATAAGGACATCATTCTTAATATCTCTCATGTATTATCCTGTAGGACTCTCAGAACAGCCGTAGAGGCAGTGTCTGGAATGTGACTACGTGAGCAAACTGAAAACCCGTGACTTACCCAGGTCCCCTCACACTATTTCACACCCCAACATCTTGATGGCCCCCTTTCACCCTGCTGCCTCCAGGACCAGCTCCCTCTCTCTGGCTGTGCCACGGGGCAATGGTCTACATGAAGCAGTGCCGCAGGGCTGCCAGGCTCCATGGCACACCTGGCAGGGCCTGGCATTACTGAGGAGAGAGAATGAGGGCAGGGGCTTGTCTTTTCCCAGCACATCCTTTGTGACAGGTTTTCTGCTCAGTGTTTCATATACAAGATTACACTTAGCCTTCATCATAGCCCCTCAGGAAAATATTATTTTCATGAGAAAACTGAAGCTCAGAGTATTTACCCAGACCGTGAGTAGCATTTCTGGGAGGTAGGCACAGCCCATGGCATGTTTCTAAGCTCCATTGAAGCCTTGTTGGTTCAGACAATGTCCAGAGGCAACTCTCTGATTATTTTCATAAGGAGCCACAGAACTTAAATTCAGAAACTCAGACTTGTCAGAATTACTGAGGTCAGAGGATACCAAAGAAGCGACCTGGGTTTTAGGCTCCTACAGTAACTGATCAATGCAGAGACTAACCCAGCAGTGCTCAAGAGTGACGATGTGCATGGGGCTCCAAAACCTGGCTCTGTCACTCACTTGTTGCGTGTCCTCGTACATGCCACCCAGTCTTTCTGTTTCCTCGTCCATGAACTATATCGAATATAAGAACTTGCTTCCTCTGGTTTCTTTTGAGGATAAAGGAAACACTGTTTTATAGCATTTAGTACCATGCTTCCTGTGAGCTGGATAATTCCTAGTGGTAATACTACAAGTTGAATAACTAACACTTATTAACAGTAGTCATTTCACTGTCAGAAGTAGTTGGGTCTGCAGGGTTATATTAATTGGAATTGTTTAGAGTCACCACTGGAAGAGATGAGAGGGGAAGAAAAGGGACAGGAGACAACAGACAGGAAAGCTGCAAAGCTGGCGGGTGATTCTCGAGAAAGCTGGTGGACTCCATTACCATATGTGGGGTGGCATTAGCCCAGGAGGATCGCTTTCCCAGGAGGTGATAGTGGCCCAAGAGAGAGGTGATAAGCACCCAGACTGTGTGGGGCAGTAGCGATGGGTAAAGGAAGAGGTGCTTTGTCTTTTCTATGAGGTCATTTTCTTCTGAAAAGTGTCAGAAGCCCCTCACCTGGCAGAATTTTTGCATGGCCTGAAGGGGGTCACCTGGCTGATGGACTCATTCTTCATATCTGCTTTATGGAAATTCCAAACCATCTCCAGTTTGCCCAGCCAGCCCTTTGTTCCACCCAGCAGTGTGGTAGGTACAGGCTGCCTGGATGGATATGTTTGTCATGTAAATGGTTGCAAATTGTCTACTTGGCACCACTCCACCCTCTCCAGTTCCCCACTCCCACTCCTACTGGACAATCCTCTTTTGCTCTGATGGCTTTCAGAGTCATTATTTCTCTTGTTTTTTCTACTGAAAAAATCAAGAGAGAATTCTAATCCTTAACTCAGGCTGTAGCTTCTAATTATCTTATTAAAACCATTTGGATTTCTTAAGCCTTTATGTTGGTGGCCTAGGACAATCTTCCTTCTTTCTGATGTCAGTCTTCAGTGAAGTTTTAATACCTGCTGATGAGTGTGTAGTGAAGGGAACTTTTCTTAAAATATGTTTTTGTTTTCCAAAACATGATTCTTACATAAAAATAAGTCTCAGCTTTAAGAAGCTGGCAAGGAGAGGGGGCAATTTGGAGTGTTTACTCTTCATAATGGAAGCCCACCTGAAATGTCACTGATTTAGAAAACAGGAGACTTGCAGAAGCCAAGCTCATTTTCAAATATAAAACAATAATTTTTTTAAAAAATGCTGCCTATATTGTTAGGATGAGGCAGCTCACCTGCTCATTTGTCAAATTGCTATTGCCAACAAAATGAGAGAAACAGGCAGAGAAGAAAGGGGAGAAAATGCTTAGTTTGAGCTTAGTTTGAAAGGGAAAATAAAGATCTTTATCTAACATGATTCCCAGTGCTCCGTCTCTCCAATGGCAGACACCACACCAGAAATCAGTGCCAGTGCATGGCAGCTCTGTGAGTACATCATCCTTTGGTGGTTATCTAAGTAGATGTGAGTTAAAAACGGGAAAGTCACATCTTTAGAAGGCTCCTTGGCCCTGAGAAGCCCAGTTACCTACAGGATGTCACCGACCCCGTGCCCTGTAAGACCATCATGACCTCTTATCTATGTCTGTAGCTTTGCCTCTTATCACTTCAAACCCTTCCCTCTCATAATTTGTGCCCACATTATATAGAATCATGTCTTCTGTTTTCTTAAACCATCTCATCCTTACACTTCCAGGCTGGCTCTACCCATGCTATTCACTCTCGACTCCTGACTGAACCCTACTTCCCTTTCCCACCTGGTAAATTCAGCACGACTACTACTGTGAAATCTTACCTGACCCCCAGGAGCATCGCATGTCCTTCCTCTCTGCTGTTTCTGCCCAGCCCTGTTGAGCCTCAATCTTGTCAGTAAAGGTGAGCAAGGGGCAGAAAGGATAGTATCACAAAGCGTCCTATCTTTCTATATCTCCAAGTACTCACCATTTAGGCTTATGGAACCCTGAGCATTTCTTTTATACATATGGAAAACCTGAGGCAGAGGCTGTTTTAGCCTCAGGAAATCATGTACCACAGGAATACAAGTTAAAATTTCATTGTGCTAGGTAATCCCTACTTGTGGATCAACCATACTGAGTGAGCCCAAGAAGAATTTAAGAGAAACTGCCATGCTGGACAGAAATCAACACCAAAGCAGTAAATCATTTTGTTAAATTCAGCGTGCATTTATTCATTCCCCCACTAGGAGTCAGGCACCATAGTGCCTGCAGATGCCCTGAAAGCTCCAAAATGAGATCTGTTCACAGAGGAGTTATACACTGAATGAGAAAGCAGATAAAGCAATAATATATTCCATTTGGATAAATGCTATTATCTGGGGGATTTTGTTTTGTTTTGTTTTCTGACAGTGAGACCAAATGAGTTTCTTATAGTCTCCATCCACTATTCCTAGTTCTGCCCCCTGTAGGGACCCACAGTAAGTTCAAAGCCCAAAACAAGTCTATAACGCAACAGTAAAAATAAAAATTTTAATGGGCATTTTTAGGCTATTCTCTACCTTTTGCTTCAAGTCATATCGTTTTTATGGAATGAAAGTCTTTTATTTGTTCTCTATTCCAAAATGATGGCTTCCAGATCCTGGCCAGTCTTTCCTCGACACCCCTGTAGTCATGGTCACTCTTAGAGTATGCTGGCCAGATATAGACTCTGGGTCCAGCTGTGATCTAATCATGCTGCCCACACCCTAACCACCACCTTTCTTTGTGTTGCCAGCTACTTCCATGATTCATTTCTTTATGGCACTGGAAATTTTTTCAGAAGGTTTTGGGCTGTGATCCAGCATATTAGATACCTACCTATTAAACCCTTTCCTATTCCTGTCATGCAGAGCTTTGGTAAGAATATCATCATTGTCTTTATAAGTCCATAATAAACATTTGCACAGGATAACAACTATGCACAGTCTCTGTCACAAAGCAATGATTTCTACCCTGAGAGTCGGGGACCAAGGAGGGAAGTGCTGTATTCATATAAAGTTGCTAATATTTTCTTTTACCAAGCATTGGCATTACTTACTTATTGAAAAGAGAAAGAAGGAAAAGAAAGAAAATGAAAAAAGACAGTGAAAGGAAATACTGCCCCCTACAATCACCAGCATTTCTTGAGAGAAAAGACAGCTACACCCCCACCCCAAGCACTACACATCATGGTGCCACAGCACATACATAACCAATATTTGTGAATAAATGGATGTATAAATAAATATGACTTATAGGAAATAGGCTCCACTGAGTTAAAGTTATCCCCAACAATTCTTTAACTCAGTGGGTATTGATTTGGTAGCAAGAGAAGGTTCATTTGTCAGAGGGAACATGGCCAAGAGCACGGTGTACTATCCTGTGTGACCAAGTGAATTTTTCGTGTGTGACATGGTCTCCTGAGTCCTGAATATCCACTGCCTTCCAGAAGGCCTTAAATTCCAGAATCCTAGTCCTGCAATCTTAATGCCCCATTGCGACCAATAGGATGGCATAGCCGTTCCTCAGCACCTCATGCCACCCATAACTGTGAAACCTCACAGGTATCTGTAATCATCCCAGGACTGTGTATGCCACCAGGGCTCCAGCTCCAAGAAGATTCATTTGATAAATGACTCAATGATAGATCTCCTTCCCCAGCCCCAAATAACAAGCCTAACTCCAGTCATCCCCATCTCCTTATCCTTACAAGATATTGCCTGATAAACACCATCTCTTACCATAGGCTTCTGCAGCTCACAAATCTTTAATGACTTCCAATTAGGTACAGAAACAGGCCAAGTCCTTAGACAAGCATTAAAGGAATCCCATAATCTGACTTTAATGTATCTTTTCAACCTCAATGACTTGCAGCAGTTTGTCTTCAAATCCCCTGAGGCCTTTTCAATATCTACCTTGCCTCTTAGTAAGTGTCTGTGTCTTCTGCCCTCTGTTAGAGAATGAGTTAGGTGAGAACCTCACCCCAGCAAAGTCCTACAAATACTACCATTAGTTACAACTGTTAGATGAATAAGTAAGGTAGCCAGGTACAGATAAAGGAAGCCACACCTTACCTCACCCTGTTACACTGTGATCTGCCCCAGCATCTAGTATACTATTAAGTCCATCATACATACTCAGTGCATAGCCCTTGGATAAAGAAATGATAATAGGCAGTCAGGCAAGAAGAAAGGGA